TTGATATGGTAAACTGATATTATAAGCAAAATGTCTGATAAAATAAGAAAATACACAAAAGTGATTTCCCTGACACTCAATAGGGGGGAAAAAAGTCTAGCTTTTATGACGACGCTATACAGTTTACAGCAACTGTCTTACTCGCAACTGTCTTACCTCAGTTTATGGTAACCACATTACTGGTAAAATTGTCAAAGAAATATATTTGGTTTAATATCTGACTATACTAATACTTGGAATCATGCAAGATTAAAGATGAATCTGTACACTTCATTCCCACTTTTTTTTAAACCTTAAAGCAGTTTTTGGGTTATAATTCAAATGAACATGTAGTAAAGCTACACCAGAACTGGTTGCAGGGGGGAAAACAATTATAGGAATAAATATTGTACCAGCAATTATACGCCCTCATAATGCAAATATGTATGTCAACAATAGCTTGCATTATTGCAACAAAACCTATGACACAGTGGTATGGGTTTTTTTCCTTCTAGTCAGTGTTGATTTATTGCTTCCATTCGCTTTAGGTGACTCTTGCTATTGACTCCAGCAGGCAGTGATGTATTTAGAGATTAAAAACAGTTCTCATTTGTTATTACAAGCTCTCAGACACATGCACAAGCAATTATGCTATCAAGACAAGTTTTAAAAATTGACAAAGTTGCAGTTTAATACAGAACTTGTTCTGAAACGTTGTTCTGAACAGTATTTTAAGTTGCTAAGCCACTAAAGTATTTCAGAACAAGATTAGAACATGTATGCCCCAGACTGTCTGAGTAAGGTATGCATATGGCAGAAGTGTTATTACCTTATGTGTCTGGTAAATGATGATTGCATTATCAGCTAAATTTTCCACAACATGGAAATTCTCAATTGTTGCTAAAAAAGCAGAGGAAAAAAAAAAATCTATCAGTAAACAAGTACATATATTAGGTCAATGTTATAAATATACTTGCTGATAAACATGCAATACTTAAGAACCGATTCCTTACTTTCCCAGTCATTACGAACATCAACATTCCAGAAGTAGTGGCAAACTTCATGCCCTGTTACCCCTTTAACAGCATGGGTTGCTTTCAAAGGATCTAAAACTATTCCATTCTCTTCCACCTCTCTTCGGTATACCTACAGCCAAATACAAAGAAAGAAATGTAGAACAGAAATTGTAAAAATTTTTAATTGTTTAAAATTTCAGCTGTTTTTTATAAAAACACCTATCTAAGACAACTAAAACATGAAAAATTTGCAATGTCAGTGTTCTCTGGTAACTACCAATGCAGACAGTCTTACATGGTAATTCACATTGAAAACCAGTACTTCAAGAATGGCTACTCCAAAAATGACTAAGCTGCCTTATTTGTCACTATGCAAAAGGATCCATATAAGCACAGTAGAGCAGCCAACACAGTAACTTGCTAAACATTTTTGTAGATTGAGTTTACACACCATTTTGATACCAAATTTTAAGTATGAGAGAATGAGAAAGGAATCTACGAAGATAAAGCTATTGCGAGAGGATTTTGCATGAATAAATATATTAAAAGCCACAGCTCTTGTGGACTCCAGTCCTAATAAACAGTACTGTTCTCAGAGACAAGTTTTAACAGCAGAACTCACTGACTAATAGTATTAACAGAGAATCACAGAATCATTTAGATTGAAAAGACAGTACGAAGTCCACCAGACTGAATGTATCTGTCTTCACAGCATATCATCTTACATCAATTAAACAAAAAACCCCACACATTTACCTTCATTTCTCCTTCTTCGACAACTAGCTGCCAGTTGGCATCTCCTCCTACATCTTGCAAGGAATATGTCATGTGGTTTTGTACCATCTCTTCCACCTTTAAACGAAAAAAATTACACATATTTAACTCATTCCTTCCATCTTCTTAGGCAGAGAGTATACAGTATTGGAAGCCACAAGTCAATACTTCAAATCCTGCGCAGGAGCTGAATTTGGACAACAGAGCTTTCTATTACAGGTTAAGAACAAGCCAATACTTCTGGCTTTTTGATTCAACTTCCAACTTCATTCTTTATGGGCACTTCCTATCCTTCTTTTGCACCTCAAAACTGTCAAAACTCATTATTCCTACCCAAGACAGATTTATTTCAACATACAAGAACATATTTCAGGTATGTCTAAATAGAATTATAATGCACTTTTAAGATATTCACTGAAGAATGTTTAAAAAGCTGAACAAAGGTGGGGGGATGAGAAGACAGACAGACAAGTTCTAAAAAAGTGAATGCATATCAAAAAGTCATATTGGAGGAGCACCAAAGGAAACAAGTCATGAGCAAAGAATGGCTAGTCTGTTTCGCTGGCATCTTTGCACAGTTGCCAGATAGAAAAAATGAACAGAATTGCTTACATTCAAAAAAATGATAATGCTACAGAGATTCTACTATTACAAAATATTAATTTAAAAATTATTTCACTAGACAGTTGTGTGCTTTTCTTCAAGGCCAAATATTTGATACATTTTTATCAAGCTATGTGAATACCTCTTTTTATTCCATATAATGTGCATGAAAATGGGTGCTGGGAAAGGAAATGGATTTTTATTTTAAATCTACAATCTTACTCTGTTTTCTTTGGTTCCCCACCCCTTTCTAAATCCCACTCTCCCCCAAACAAAAACAGAAGCAAAAATATGAGGTATCCATTGCTATGTAATATTTACAAGTACTGGAAATGCTTTAACTTTTCCCTACCCAAAAGGTAGATGACTACTAAAACTTGTCACAGCAAATAAGTCTGATTGACACTATTTTTCTGAATTACTAGAAATACCTTTCTGTCCAACAGAAAAGGCACTACAAGCAAAGTTTAGTTAATGGACCAACACAAAGATTAAGTGCACAATCACAAGATCAGTAGCTTGAACCCATAAGTGGTTTTGCACAAGCTACAAAGCCTAGTGTGCACATAAAATGACACAGAAAACGTACTTGAGCAAGTAAATACAAGTAGAAAGCAAAATTAAAAAATACTTAATGGTCTTTTTCTTATTTAATATAGAATTGAAAAAGGTTATTTACTTTTAATTTAAAGCAGTAATTTTGTTTGTACTATGTGAGCAATACACTTAAGACCAGTAAGAAAAAAGGTAACTGAATCAAGTCAAAATCCTCAAAGTACAACATCAAAATAAAATCCATTGGATGGAAATTCTAGTTTATCTTATTTTAGCTACAGACTTCTCTGCAGAAGCAAATGTTGTCACTCCAGTTTTTGGGGTTTTCTTTGGGTTTTGCTTTGTTTTTTTAAGTTATAAGGAAGTAAACACCCACAATATTTGTTTCTGCTTTTAGACAAGTCATCTTTTTCTGCCAGTTACTAGCAGGTTTTCTACAAAAGTTTCTTCTTTTTTTTCCCAGTGAAACAGTAACAGTACAATCCAAACCAGATAGGAATGTGGGCTATTTAAATATTCAATTTACTAGCTCTAGGTCACACTTCTTTCAGAAAGGAATCCTCGCCATACTCCCACTTACCTGCAACACCTCCAAGTCCCTGTGTCTCTTCTCCCCTAGCTCCTAATCTACTAAGGACAAAGCTAGCTTTTACATGTTTGTTTTGTCTTTTGCTGCTTTTTGCTTTATGCTAAATGCAGAGGGATGAGGGGGATAGTAAGGAAAGAAAAGGAGTCACCCACAGGAGTGCAATCTAAACAGTTTACTTTTGCTTCACCAAGGAATTGCAGTACCTACAACTGCCTTGTGGATACTACCTGTACAAACTGTATGTAATCTATGTACTGGTCACTGTCTGTCAACCTGCATCTATTCCAAAGGCCCACAGTCAAGATTCGAAACTTCTTTCCCACTGGGGAGGCCACACTACCACCTCTGGGTTCTTGGCAGGCTACAGGAATGGTCTGCAAAAAATACTTGTAACCTGTACACCCTGCAGCCTTGGCCTGAACATTATGTGGGAAGTTCTTCACTTTAAAGGCCCTTAGAACAGCTTAATCTATTTTAAAATCTGATAGTCCTTTAAAAGAAAGTAATCTGCAAAACATCTACAGAGTTTTAAACCCACAACCTCCTACTCAACTGGCAAACACAAATCAATGCCTTTCTAGAGGCACCCTTAAGAACTGGCTCCCATTAGAATACGTATTTATACTTCTCAATCTTAAAAACGAGGCAAGTTTCTATTTGACCTTTTACTGATACCAAAATTCCCTTTGTATGAATGAAGTCTAAAAACAAGTCACATATTATTTGGCTTTTCAAAAGCCAAATCCTCAACCTGGGGACAGAGGCCAGTTTCATATTAATAAGGTCCAGGGCAGGCTGTCACCAAAAGAAGGTGTGCTGCTTTTCTCTTCATGCTCTCAGGTGCCTTTCACCTGCTTGTTCAGTAGCAATGAAGCTCTACAGCAGGTAGACTGACTTGCAGATTTGGCAAAAATTTGTTGTAGGGA